ACACACACACACACACACACACACACACACACACTTACACACACACACACACCAATTTGTCTTGACCGCATGCATAATAAATGAAATGGCACACAACTAAGAGGAAGCCGGCTACCAGATAAACTGAAAGATACGAGTTCGTCGCATGTTTTAAGTGTTAATAGGCATACATGAAATTAATACATTATACATGACATACTAGTTACAAACTGTGATTGGTTTCAATAAAGTATAAGTAGATATCTATTTTAGGCCCCCATCGATAAGAAGATTATTAAGGAGGTGATGTTTGATTATTTGATAGTAAATCTTCAACACTAATATTCTCCTGTTTCTGTTTTTCAATGTTCATTCATCCATTTATTCGATTACTTTCTTCTAACAACGCAGCCAAACTGGTTGGATTGAAAATACATGTAAACAACAAACACAGCAAGATCAAAAGAGATAGAAAGAAAGAAAGACTAAGAAAGGAAAAAAGAAAGAAAGACCGACAGACAGACAGAAAGAAAAAAGGAAAAAAAGACAGAAAGAAAGAAAGAAAGAAAGAAAGAAAGAAAGAAAGAAAGAAAGAAAGAAAGAAAGAAAGAAAGAGCGCAAGTCTGCTGTTTCTGAGGTGTTGTCAGTGACTGCGAGCGCACAATAATGTAATTCAGTCATAAAAAATATTATGCCGGTGACAGAGGGTGTACACAGGTGGTTCCTATGGTGTGTGTTCTTGTCATACACTATAACTCTAGCTAAAAAAAAAATAATAATAATAATAATAGAGCTCTGCTCATTGGCAACTGTCAACGTTAGACGATGGTACGGTGTTTTGTGTAGTATTTTACTTCACACAACACAGATGAATCATTGCATGTGAACCAAATTTCCGCAAAAGAAATCAATAGTTGATGAATTGTGTGTATATATATCATGGCGTCCAAAAGAAACTTGAAAATGTAATCACCCAATCATCGTGTTAAAGCCTTGCACTGCCCCCTCATGCAGCATATCAATTTTAAGCTAAACAAATTGTGCATTATCTAACACATCAATATTTCATCTGTTTCAAGAGACACCCGAGATGTGGTCACTCAAAATTAACATTTAAAAAGTCAGGCTTGGCAAAATTGTGCGAAATCAAACAAACGTAAAAATGTGTTTGTGTTTGCATTGAGGTGCATTAACAGTGGTGGAATGGCCATGCATTGAATATCAAATGAAAAGAGAATAATATTATTGTCTCTGTACGAACAGCACCTTCTGATGCTTCAATCAGTTTAGAAAATAGAACAGTCACAAATACCACGCAAAACCTGGACTTAACATTACATGTGCTCAATAAGATAATTTTGTTATTGTTTAGGAGCTATTCGTTCCGTGTAGATCAAGGAAACATTTTTTTTTTTTTTTTTTTTTTTGCTCATGGACTGAGTTAGATTTTGGAAATCGATCTAGATCTAATCACAATCTGTCAGTGAGGAACAGAGGAAGAAATTGCCATTGGCTTTGGGTGGTCTGGGGCGGAATGAAAAAAGCCGCCTTCATGTGAATCACCGGATGGCTTGGTTTAGTGGACTACATCGCCCAAGTGCTGGATCGTCATATCTTACCCTTATTCATGGTGCCATTAAGTAGACACCTACATGCATGGCAAAGCACTTTCTCACACTCACATGCCCAATGCCACTAAACAATTCTCGGGAAACCAAATCATATTAACGTTGGAGTGGTCACAAGCAAGTAGCCCGATATATATATGATTCCCACAGAGATATGATTCCTACATGAAACAGCAGCTGAAGAAAGTCGACTGTCCTCCCAATTCAGCCGCTTTATTCGCAACTTTCTGTGACATTTGGGATGAACCCCCCC